TGTACTTATATCGAACTTTGCTTTCTAAACTTCATACTCATTCCAGCTTGTTCCACAGCTGTTATGGGCTTGAGATTGCTGGCCATCCATGCCCTGTTGTTCTTTAACAATCTAGTTCAAAAAGGTTACACCATCAGAAATAAATTTGTCGTATATCTTATTACAGAGAACAAGAGGACTGTAAGGTCCATGTTTATCTAGAGTCTGGGAAATAATTGAGTCATTGAATATGTGATTGGATGGGTCTTTATCATCCCATCCATTTCAAATTTGTTTCCACCCTTCTCTATTTTCTTTTCCTTTCTTTTTACTGAATTTTAGGATTTATCCCATCAATCCAAACCTGCAAATGCCCCTTTAGATGATTCAATTGCTCAACCCATGATTGTAACTATTCATAGTTCTGTTGGATTCTGTCAGTTTGGTAAAATTCAAAGTGTTAACTTGCTAATAACTAATAACATTTATGAGTCTACCTGCCAAATTGATGTGAAGATTCCCTTTATCTCGGCATGAGTATCTTAGAGCTTGAGTCCCAGAGTCTAGACACAAGCAGTGGTTGTTTTGTATCAGCTTGCTAGCTTTGAGTTGCTTATTGGTGAAATTGGTCTTTGCTAGTGCTAGCTTGTTTTAATAACATTATCCAAAATCATCATGCTGAAGTTCGTGTGCTAGGAGCAGTTTTGCCGGAACCAGCTTTGTCATTATCCTGTAACCATGCACTAGTAGTTTTGGTGCTTCTGATCACTAAAGAAGGATGCACCCTGGATGAATTTTACTAGAATTACTCTAAGATTCACCAAAAACACCCTTTCTTTCCAACTAAGCCTTCTTTCTTTAAATGGTCTTTAATCAACTTGAAGGCCATATGTTACCCACCAACAGCATGAAATCATAGCATAGTAACTTTGCGGCATTTAGGTTGGAGCTTCTTTAAGGCCAACCTAGGTCTACATTCTGTTCATCTTGGGTCATGGCACTTTGATTTCCATGTTTTGCAAGAGAGAGATTTATTAAGCAATGATTTTATGAAATTGATAGTCTGGACTGTGGAATACTAAGCTGTCAATTTTATGGCTTCTGTTCAGAAGGTTCCTTATAGGGACCGGCACTCAAATTCAAGAAACTACAGAGGAGGTTATAATGGTGACAGGGGTGACTATAGTGATAAGGAGGGAAGCTGGATAAACTCAAAACAACGAAATCCAAACTGTGGCTATGGACGTAGCCAGTCAGAGAGGTCTGGCATGAGGTCTGATAGACAGGTCACTGATGAGAGCCAGTCTGATAGACAACGGCGAACTTATAGAAATGACTCGTACCGGCATGAGGCAAGCTCTCAGTATCTTGTGCAGGGCCAACCTTTTGGATCCACAAGCTCTATGCGCAAACCAGGAAATACAGCGCATGGGGTTTATGCACAACCATCTACGTCTTCAAATGGTGCCGGTGCTTTATCTGGCCCTCCAGGACCACCATTTTTTATGGTGTACTCCTATGAACAAGGCTCAAATCATGGTGCTTCCTCATCTGAACCAATTGAATTTGGATCTCTTGGGCCACTTCCTGCAGCAGATGGTGATGACATACCAAGGTCGACACGCCAAGTAATGCCTAATGGGTTTTATGGGCAAAGACGTGGTCCATATAGGGGTGGTTCCTCTCATTCGTCTCCTGATCAACCATCCTCACCTCAGCATCGTCGGTAATACTTGTTATTATATTCTTTGTTTATCACTGTTTTATTTTCAATGTTTCCGTATGAGCTGTCTGAAAAAATCACATCATGAATATGTAACAAAACTTTATGTTATCTGTAAAAAAACAACTCATCATGCTTTCATCTATATTAGCAGAATAAATGCATTACAGCAGTTGTCAATAGTAAGTTAACTTCTTCTTTTTTAAAGAATAATAGTAAGTTACTTGACCTATAGTTAAAATTGACAGACAATGATGGATCACTGAAAATTCACATTTGTTAAATTCTCACGCGTTGAAGAATCTGGCACATGAACATGCAGCCATGTGCAAATTAGGTAGGGCAAGCAGGGATTGAAGAGATAGGCTGCTTCATATTTCATGTTGATATAAAAAAAAGGATAAAATAGTATATTCAAGCCACAGAACAAAAGTTCCAACTCATTTTATTTTCATTCCTCAGTGGGTGTTTCAGAGTTTAATAAGAATAGTCATTCTCTCATGGTTACTTTGTCACGTTGGTGATAATGGCCAGTAACCTCATTTGCATACATTTATCAATGTGTGCTCATTTTTGGTTGCCTGTGGCCTACATGAAGTCTAAAGTATGCACAAAACAAAGTGTGTTGAACCGACACCCATAGCTGTTTGCAGTAATTAGTAAATTGGCTCCTGGTATCTAGTTCCAAAGGTATAAATTAGCGCATAACCACATCAAATTAGTACCAGATCAGGGATTAGTACCATCATCAGCTTGGATTGAATGGTTACCCCAACATTTGGGACTTATGCACTTTGTTGTTGTTGTTGTTGTTGCTTCTGTGAATTGATTTATGTATTTACCTGCAAGTATTTAGCACCATTTGTTGTGCTGAAATTTGTGTTTCTGTTTGCTTTGAAGGTAGTTGAATCTTCATATGATGACTTGATCACTTTGTTTCTGGCATTGAAACCTTGCGATAGCAATATTTCTGTCCACCCCTCGTGATCATATCCTGCATGGGTGCAGATGGTTGGGCCATCAGCAGCCACAAAAAAAAAACAAGTATATGCCCTAGCTGGCTTCTTGGTGCTTTGTGATCTCAGAAGCACTGACTTGTGAATACCGTCAAAAGAGGCATCAATTACCGGCAGGTTATTTTACCAGTCACAATGGTGCTTCCTGGAATCAAAACAACTATCTTCAGAACAAATCATGGAACCGTCAAAACCCAGAATATCTTCACACAGAAATCAGAATTGAACTGAAGATTATGAACAAGGATGAACTGTGTTCTGGCCGTCTCATTATATGAATTGTGTCAAGGATAATAACAATATTAGTTTGGATGGAGCAGGAACAAGCATTGCTGCATCGGAAACAATCTGGAATGCTTTGGGTTTTAATGTGTCTGGGCGTGTGTAAGTGAAAGCTAATAATGAAATCCTCGTACCATTTTTAGGTAGGATTAAGCTCATGTAACACAGCAAATTATTCACTTAGATGCACACTGAGTTAAGTGAATCGTAGGAAACAGATTCTCGTGCTGAAGCGAGGGATGACTCCAGAATACTCAAGGCACGAGTAAAAAGTTATCCATGTCAATCTTCCTCGGTTCCATTCCATGTGTACTGTGTGTTTGATGTCCGCATGTTTCTCTGCCTGGGCATTGTGATGCATGAATTGTTTTCAGGGTTGTTTCATCTATGATTGTTATTCCCAGAACTGAGTCTGCCATCTAGTCCCGCAGAGCGCGACAGTTTTATAGGTTACAGCAGTACACTTCCGATTCTTGAAGAACAAGGGGAATTTGGGGATCTTGATAATTAGTGTAGATGGTAATTTACTGGTGCTAAATGCATTTTACAATGGGTACAAATGCATTGCAAATTCTGAGCTCCCATTATTTTGGTGATCATTCTCGTACTCCTAGTGGCCTATGGGCTGGTCTAGATTGTTTGCGTATTTCCCCTGCTGAAACTGAATGATGTGCTCAGCTCGCTATTCTGCTCCGGTTCTCTTCTTGAGCTCCGAAATGAAGTCCTCCCTCTCCTGGTCGGTCATGCCCTCCGTGGAGCAGTCGCCGACGCCCCACTCGGCGCCCCGCAGGCAGTACTTGTCCTGGATCAGCCTCTCGTTCCTGCAAAAATCATAGCTTCAGCGTTGATTCGTTGAACATGTATCACCAGAGAGATCTTAAGGAGCGTAAGCGAAGTATGTTTTTACTTCTCTTTGTTCTTCTTGGATTTCTCGAGCAGCTCCTGCAGCACCTTGGACTTCTTGAACCTGTTATCGAACTCGGCGTACTTCTTCTGGTTCTCCGCTTGCGAGCGCAACAGGAAGCCAGGGTTTCCATCAGTAAAGAAGGCCAGAATGATAAGCTTGCGGCAAGAACAAGTCCTTGGCCTTTTAAGAGCCTAATTTCTAAAAGAGACTTTCCACGTGTCTAGAAAAAGTCCTCGGCGTACTTCTATTCTTTGGTTGAAAAAAGATCTCTTGTAATACTTTCACAACTTTTCCGCTTTTTGAGCAGCTTCAAAATGAAAAAACTTAAAATAGAAAGTTGTAGATCTCGTTGAGATCTATAATTTTCATATAAAAATTATTTTCATTTAATTCCAAATATGATGATTTTCTAAGATATAATAATCATATCAAATTAAATGAAAATAATTTTATATGAAAATTATAGATCTCGACGAGATCTACAACTTTCTAGTTTTGAGTTTTTTTTTCATTTGAAGTTTAAGATGCTCAAAAAATTAATATGATGATGATAAGGCATTTTCGCCGGCAAGAACAAGTCCTTGGCCCTAATCACAAGAGACAAGAAGAAAAAATCTCCTCAAGAACTCTCAACAGGTAACTGAGGCGAGCAAATAACCATTCCATTTCTCCAGGAACTCGAGCCGGGGGAGGTCGGGGCCGGGAGTCGACTCCAGTCCCGAGAAGCCGGACAGGATGCCAGCGTTCACTGCAGTTGGCGAACAATATGTTTCCGGGCATTAGTTTGGAAACACCGGCGGCGAATTTGTGAATGTTTCACGTTCCATCAAGTGTGCCTGATGCTGTGCTGCACCGGTGTCACTAGCAGGTGCGCCGTGGCGGTGAGCAAGACTGCAAGAATAGCCGTACCTGGACTGGACCAGAGGACGAGCGAGAGCGAGACAGCCGCAGGGACAGCCAGGAACACCCGGCCTGCCATCGCCCGCATATACCCGCGTGACTGGAACGCCCGACACGGCATCGGCATCGCACGCACCACCCAAAGCAAAACCCCTTGTTCGCTTTTCTTTCTCAGATCCACCCCCAACCCGAAATGGCCTCCTACGACGGCGACGAGGACTCCGGCTGTCGCCGCCCATCCCAGCACCGCCCGTCCGGTGGGGGCAGCGGCGACCTTGCCTCGAGCGCGAAGCTCGTGGCGGAGGCGGCCAAGCTGGCGCTCCAGGACCACAGCCTGGAGAAGGTGGACAAGGGCCGCGTCGCCGGCGCGGCGGCCGACCTGCTCCACGCCGCTTCCCAGTACGGCAAGCTCGAGGGTAAGCCCGTCGGCGGGTACCTCGAGAAGGCCGAGGAGTACCTCCACCAGTACGGCCGCAAGGATGGGGGCGGCGGCAAGCATCAGGAGGAGGGGGAAGGCAAGTACGGTAAGAAGCCCGGCGGTGGCCATGGAGGGGGAAGGTATGAGGAGGAGGAGGGGTACAAGAAGAAGCCTAGTGGTGGGAGGTATGAGGAGGAGTACAAGAAGAAGCCTGGTGGTGCTAGTGGCTATGGAGGTGGAAGGTATGAGGAAGAAGATGGCTACAAGAAGAAGCCAGGCAGTGGTGGCTATGGAGGAGGAAAGTATGAGGATGAAGATGACTACAGGAAGAAGCCAAGCAGTGGTGGCTATGGTGGGGGAAGGTACGAGGATGAAGACGATTACAAGAAGAAGCCCACAAGTGGTGGCTATGGTGGGGGGCGGTATGAGCAAGAAGATGATTACAAGAAGCCTACAAGTGGAGGCTACGGTGGTGGGAGGTATGAGCAGGAAGATGAATATAAGAGGCCTCCGAGTGGTGGTGGCAGGTATGAGGATGAAGATGATTATAGGAAGAACCCTAGTGCTGGTGGATATGGAGGTGGAGGAAGATATGAAGATGACTACAGCAAGAAGCCAGTTGGTGGTCATGGCGGAGGGAGGTACGAGGAAGATGATGAGTACAAGAAGCCCAGTGGTGGTGGATATGGTTATGGGGCTTCCAGTGGTGGACATGGAGGAAGGTACGAAGAGGAAGACTACAAGAAGAAGCCTAGTGGGCACTCAGGGGGACGCTATGAGGAAGAGGAGGGGTACAAGAAGACTAGTGGCCATAGTGGAGGGAAGTATGGCAAGGAGGAAGAGGACAAGAAGAAGAAGAAGCATGGAGAGGATGAGTCAGAGGGTGGCGGTATTGGAGATTACCTGAAGTTGGCACAGGGTTTCATGAACAAACAGGATGGGGAAGGGGGGAGTGGGGGCGGCATGGGAGACTACTTAAAGCTTGCAGAAGGTTTCTTGAAGAAGCGCTGATTAATCTTTCATGTCATGTTTCAGGAAAGACTTGTGTTTGGTTAGTCCCTTGTCCTGTTTATTGTCTCCAAGTAGTGAAATTTTCAAGGTTTCCATCATAGGATGTAATTCAAGTGCATTGCTCATGTTGTCTGTGTGTTGTGACATGAATGCTTATTGTGCTGCTTACGCTGCTGGGGTAATAAAAGCTTGGATGCTCTGCTATTTATGTTGTATATTAGTTCTGACTAAAATAATTTGTATCCTATATTATTATGCTTACAATAAGTGAAACTCTTGGAATACGTTTTCATTCATTATGTATTGTTGTTATGGTCCTACCGTTTGAAATTTCTGTGGAGATGTGTTGGTTCTTGATCTTATCATACTGAGTACTAATGCATGGATGTGCATCTTTTCCTGAACTTGATTTTAGTTTTGCTAAACCTGAGACAGAGAAACTAACCAGCCATGTTTATTTCAACTTTATTGGTGGTGGTTCTAGGCGTCCTTGCAAAATAGCCTCTGAATAGATAGTTTGAACTTATTATGGTGCTTGGCTACTAACCATCGAGGCATCTTGCCTAAACTAACTTCTTTGTTGGGCCAGTTCTTATCTCTAAGTAGTTGATGTCTCTTCTCACTTGGCCCTTGTGCAGTGCCTGCCAATTTGTCACATGATGATAGTTTTCCGTATCTGTGTACTGTTAATTGGTGAAGAATTTGACACAAATAATTTAGTATCTAAATCAAACTAATGTCTTGGAAGTAAACAATAGGTCATAGAGGAGAGGAGAGGATTGTTGAATTTGAACCACAGGCGGTTTTATGTCATCGGTTTCACGCAGTGTCAGAATTATTAGTATTTCGCCTTTCCTGATTCCATAGTTGAAAAGACACAAGTGCACAGCTCAATGGAATATTTCTGCAAGTTTATTCAATCAAGCAGTTTTTTTGCTCCTCTTTGTATGACCTCTCAGGCTTTCAATACCTCGATTCCAATGCGCTCATTTATTTATTTAATAAAACCCTAGGACCCTTTAAGTGACTGAGCAACTATGGCTGCGGACCTTGTGTATCCTTTCAACCCAGCGGCTTTTAATCTTCTATCACTCATTCAGACTCTCCCATCTTTCTGAACCATTCAGACTCTCTTTTTTTCTGAACTATGAACCTTGAATGGTTGGTGGGTGCGCTACCCCAATCAGTTTCACTCATGGTCAAAAAGTTTCTCTTATTACTGATGGCGACAAGGTTTATGGGATTGAAACAGCCAAACAACCAAGATATCACTCCTAGCATATACAGCTGTGCATCAGTCAATCAAGTTTCTGAGAAAGATGATTGGCATAATTGTATGGTTTTTTGGTAATTGATCTGGAAAGCAGTCGCACTTCAATGTGAAAGGAAAGCTGGGACAGCCGTTCTTGATGCAAGGTCAACATGCTGGCATAAGGGAACAATATGAATTCTGTGGACCTAGCCCAAAGGACTGATGAAAAAATGCTCAGATTATTTCCTCAATCGATGGGGTACCGAGATTTGATTCTTGTATGTCTGCAAATACTGTATTCGTATTAACTCAGCTAAAGTGGTTGCTTGGTTATGTATCTTCTTTGGTTAATAAAATTGATGTGGCGGATGGAATTCAGTACTGAGTATTACAATGTAACTTCCAGAAGATATTCTTCTTCTCTAATGTAAGTGCTATAGAAGATGATCTTCCTCTGTATTCTGTTTACTAGAAGGTGGTCTGCCAAAAGTGTAATATATAATATCATTAATAATCCATATATTTTTCATTGGCTTTCTGTACTGAATCTCATCATCAAGAAGTTTATGCTTCCCTCGGATTTTGTTTGATTCTCTTCCAATTGGCCATGGTTCATTCATGTCGTGTGTTGGGATGCAAGTGCTGTTGTTTTTGTTAGATCATTGGATCGATCCACCACTCACCCAGTTGAACTAGTACACGCATGCATGTAGGATGAGATGAATTAGTAAATTTTTTGCTTAATGGAAAAATCATTGCTCTTGGCTATATGTATCTTGCCCAGTTCTCTTTGGCAGTAAAGGCGCCATTTTGGCCTACATTATTCTTTACAAATAACATACTGATGTACAAATGTTCAAAACGTTCATCCAAGTTACAATCTCGACATAATCCATCCATATATTAGATTTTGAAAGAAGTCTATTTTTAGCCATCCAACTATTACACAAATTTGTTTTTAGCTGTGCAACTCTAAAATCAGAAATCTTTGACCACTAAACTATTAGTGCCGGACAAATTTGGCCTAAACTAGTTTCAAAGATGAGTTTTGTATTTCTGAATTTATTTTCTAAAAGAATCATAACTAGTTATTTATTCAGAAAAATATGAAATCAACACCATTTTTTCTATAAAATAATATATATTAGTGCTATATTCTGATCTAATTGGATCTTATCTGTAATTGTTTCAAGTGTTTTATTATTTGTAGTCGTGCTCATTATTATTTAAATCATCAATTTATGCTACATAAACCTAGACTTCGACCACCAAAACCCACACTCTAAAAGTCTAAATAAAAGCACCAAATATTTTGGAGTCAAATTGACCCAATTACTTGCCTAAATATGGTGGAGCATGAGTGCATGACCCCTTCAATGCTAGCGCTGTCTTCCAAATATTCTATGGTGGATTTTTCTGATTAAAAAAGTTATGAATTTTAAGAAATAAATTATTTTTACTAATTTTTCTAATTTAGATTAGATAATTTATCCAGTAATTGATATAGTCAAATATTTTCAGTTTTATAGTTGCATGGCCGAAAACAAACTCAGGCAATAACTGGATAGCCAAAAATTAAGCCCAATGCATATTATCTAGAATTGCCTGTTGGAACAAACTGTGCAACTCAGCCACCAACCAACCACATGCAATGCGACACCATATCAAAATAAAACAGGAAGACAGCTCTAGGAGCAACCAATGCAGAACCAGAACACATGCTAAATGTTCACATTACTGAAACATCACACATCCGAAGGAGATGGATCCGTCAGATAACATGCACAGATCCATATGCTTCCAATATACAAATCTTCCAAATCACAGGTCACAGCACATCAATCGCCGATCACATGAGACCCAAAAAATGCTATGAATGAATGATACTACGGAATACGGATAAGGCAAACCAATCGAGCTCAGAACTCCTCAACAGAGACGGCTTCGCGAGGGACCTCATAAGCATCCTTCTGCCTCAGCTTCTTCACACCGGCAATGAAGCATATCTTGTCAGACTTGTAGCTCTCGATGCTCACGCTGGCCACCTTCACCCATACCACCACCTTGGTCTTCATGCCTTCAACCCCAGAAAGCTTGCCTCGGGACAGAGTCGCCTTGACACGAGGAGCATACCGTATCGTGGAGGAATCCTTGAAGCTCACCTCGCAGGGCTTGGACAGGTGCACCACCAGCTTCGAGGTCGATTCGTCGTACTCATAGCAGATGATGTTACGAGGGAAGAGGCCTGGAGGGAGGTTGTGCTCGCGCAGTAGATCAGAGAGCGATTTCTTGTGTCCTGGACAGAAGAAACTGGAGTCAGTGCATATTTATGAAATATTGATTATTACAACTGTGCAATGGTGCTACGAAATGAGGTTAACGAAGAGATACACAAACATAATTTAGAATCAGAAAGTGTCGAGTCTTGACTCTTGAGGGAAAGTCCAACTTTATGGAGTAATTTTGACTTAAGAATTTCAAACAAAATATAGCAGCTGCAATTTATGATGCTACAGAGACTTAAAGATTTCTACAATATTTCAATTATTCATCATATATATAGACCAGCCCAACTTGCTTGGGACTAAAATGCTTTATTGTTGTTGTTCAATTGTTCATCACAGAAATTGCAATCAGACAAATAAGATAACTGTGGTCCACCAACAAATCAGGAGGAAGACATCAAACAGTAATTATACATAGTATCCATTAACAATTGAAATGGATATATATAGATTATGAACACATTATTGACAAGACCTGTATTTGGCAAAGGAAAAAGTACATGAAAAGAGAGAAGAACTCAGTTTACATGCAGTCTACACAGAACAAAGGTATCCTGTCCTGCAAAGCTTTGACAAGAGAAGTTGTCCAGCTACATTATCAATTGCTTTTGTTCTTCCGGCCACAACAAATTAGACGCTGCTTAGAAGCAAGTGCTATGACAAACAATGGGCATTGCAGTACAGGCTGGCAAATCAATCGGCTATAGTTGGCTACGACCAGGACATACACTGCACAGTCTTGCTAATACCGCCAAAGACATGAGAGGACCAATGCCAAGATTGCACGTAAAACAAGTTATTAGGTGAGCAAGTCCCCTATCCATTGCTCCTCTATGTACTTCTGAATAATGGCATCAACGAAAAACTGGGTCTTTATCTAAAAAAACATGGACCAGATGCCAACCAATGCAGAGCAGCAGGATGTCACAAAAGTCATTTCAGTTTGGCCCCCATGTGCACTCTACTTTGCAGATCAAAAGGGTACAGGAAATCCAAGAAAAGCTAGATCCAATCAGAGGAAAGGCTAGGAATCAGGCAGCCAGTACATGTAATCATATTAAATAAAGCTCTCTTTCCTGCATTGCTTTGGTTTTACGCATGAGGCAAAGAAAAGCTAACCGCAATGGGTAGTTGCACTGATGATGTTGCCAAAACAACTTAACATGCAACCAGAAGGTTCTAATTCATCATCTACATCTCTTCAGAGTCACTGTCATTTTCACAGCCCATCATGTACATCTCTTCAGAGTCGCTCTCATTTTCACAGCCACAAAACCAACCATGGAATGGAACAGAACAACTGTACCTTTGAGCTTCTCGAAAACCCATTTTGCCTTCTCCTCCACCGTGCTCGAAAAACGCTGCAGGTAAGATCAAAGGCTGTCAGTTTGGTAATGTGGATGCTGCTGAACTTAACGGCTTGCATCCAAAGTTGAAACTGATCTACTATTTCGTCGCCCCAG